AACTGATTAGTGAACACAATGCTTTCAAGGGAAGAGATAGTAAGGGGGCGGTTTCACCAGGCATATGTGTTTCTAAACTAAAGTTTGCAAACCAATCACTGAAAGTTCACAGATAGTGGCAGGTTCATTGTAGATTACTTTGTCGTGAAGTAAGTATGGGATTTCCCTCGCCGACTGCATTCGTTTTTTAAGAAGTGCCGTTAAGTTATAAACTTTGGAGGTACTTTCAAGTGCCGTTAACTCTTCGTCGAGGTCCTTTTGAGAGCGTAGGCGCTTGATAGATTCAAGAGACTCGTGGATTGAGAGCAATAGTGATATGTCCTTAGTGGAATAGTACTGTTTCTTCAACTTCCTTAACTTATTACGGTGTGCCCTTGGAATATATTCAGTTCGGTGTCTACTTAATTTCACTATTTTCTTTGGAGCAACTGTATCTAGACAAAGGGTAACATTCCTGTAAAACAGGGTTACTAAGGCCTCCAGGGAGTCAGTGGTAAAATAGTCATCCCATTGACAGAGTCGAATAAGTTCTTGGACTAATCCCCAGTCTGTATATTTGTAACTACGACATATTGTGCTTCCTGAGTCTTGTTTGTTTCCTGTATTTAGTGGTGAGAAAGGCAGAGAGCAGAGTACCATTCTATGGTCACTACTGGAAAATCTATTACCAACATAGTGGATACTGGGATTGTGTCATGACAAAAAACAAGGTCCAACATGTTGTCACCACGAGTAGGTGTCTGGACGTGTTGTTGCCATCCATAACAGTCTATAGTGGCAAGTAATTCGTCGAAGCGTTGGGGGCCGGAACTAGTTAGCCAATTGACTTCTGGAAGTCCCCTGCAATTATTTTGTAATTAGCACTAAACGAGGATGCGTGTGCAAACGATTTAGCTAATAACGCATCAGTTTCTTTTGTTGCGCTTGGTGCTCGATAAACACAGCCTATGAGAAGTTTGTACTTATCTCCATGTAAGACAACCCAGAGTGAGTCAGGTACATTATTCATTGTTTCATCTTCCACCTTACTGACTACAAATGAGTTATGTATATATATGAGACATCCTCCACCACGCTTGCAATCTCTGTTTGCACGGTGTACAGTGTAATCATCGATACCTATATGCACATCAAGTACAGAGGATGAGCACCATGACTCAGTAATCAGAGCTACAGTAGGCTTGGCGACTAATAATAATGTCCTTAGTTCAGATATCTTATTGATTAAGGAACGTGCATTAATTAGCAATATCGTGAATAAGTCACGGGATACTACAAACTGGCTTAAAATGTCACCATAACCTAAATCTATTTGTGCGTCAGCACCGCAAGAATTTATGAATGAAAAGGAGGTCGGACTGGGTGTCTGTACATCGGGTTGGTGTGCAATGAGGTGGTCCTAGGTGCCATGGGTCGTACCAGTGATTCGGGACACCTGGAAAATTTACCATGTGTTCCTGGATATAAGGGTAGTACAGGTTGGGCCTAGGTTGACGGTTAAAAGGCATAGCATCAAAGGTCTACCCATCCAACTGCTATTCGTCATACCGGTATACACCTTCGGGTTGTTTTTATAACTTAAAGGGAATTGTGAAGGAAGGTGCTTTGGCTGCAAGACTTTAGGAGTCTTGGAGCCTGACTTTCTATAAGGTGGAGCATGCGGAACACCTCCAGATATACTTATGTTTCGAGAGGAGTTTTTCGTAACAAGTGATGGTTTGTTGGCATTCTTACTCTCAGCAGGCTTATTGAATACAAAGTATTCTTCCCCATCATTAGTCTCAACCCTGCGAAATTTGTTCATCGTGGTGAGGTTACTACGTTTGGGGGGAAATTTCTTAGAACAACTTGCAGAAGTTCTAGTCATTTTAACATCTTTCGATGAGGCTTTGTTTACAGGGGTACTGGTATCTAAATCAGTTCCTAGTTCCATTGGCAGGTGTGGTTGTTGTGTAGTTTGCTGAATGCTAGTTTCAGCACTAGGTGTCTGTTGCTGTGCACGATCCTTTTTTGGTAAATCTAAGCTAGAGGAGGTGACCAGGTTATTACTACGCATTATTCTGCGCTGACACGGTGTTTTATCCTGAGCTACGGTTATAGACTTATAACTGCTATTCAGTCTTAAGTGATCCTGACATTTAGTAAACTTACTAGCATCAAGGGAATTACTGAATTTAAAAATGATTGGGCAATTAGCCTGGTTAGACTTTTTACGAAGTCGTTTGCATTCACATGGAACACTAGCCATGCCGCAACAAATCAGGATTTTGTGTCTTACAGTTTTCAGGGGCAGAGAATCTGGGACGTTGTAAACTATAGCTTGGTGAGAAGAGGTTATACGCTTCATCACCTCCGTAGCCAAGCAGTCAATCAGATTTTCAGCTTTATTTAGGTTGTCTGGAGATATTTTAGGATGCCTTTTTAAAAGACAGGCTATTGGGTCTAAATTCAAAAGCTTATTTTGAGTTACATCCAGTAAACACTTAACCTGGCCAATATCAGAACGGCTCTCCGTGGTATTTGAGATTGGCAGTGACATACTATCAAACTGATCTAATTTTTTCTGAATTTCACTTACTTGCCTCTGCATATCTTTCAAAAGGAGGTTTAGTTTACAGAACTCAGAGTTCTCTAACAGAACATCTTTCACCTGTATCACAGGAGTGAGATCTGCACTCAAACCATTTTGAGAGCTAGTAGTTGATACTGTATTACCGGGCGGTAATGCAGTTATAACCGAATTTTAGCCACTATCTAAAACAATTGTTTCTACGAACACGTTTTTTAGAGATTTGGACCATAATTTCAAGAATTATATGACAATAAGCAGTAAATAAATTTCAGAGCAAACAAGTGCAAAAATGTCACCGATTTCGAACGTCCCTCCAGGATATCTTACTGTCATTATACTGGCACACTTATCAAACTGAAGGCATCTGGAAAAACAACCTCACCACCCGGTATAATACATCCGGCTGTCCATGAACCATCTTGAGCCAGCAAGAAATGCTCCGCAGTTTAGCAAAAAACGTGAGATACGAACCGCCTTTTAGGTCAATCAAAGCTTCACTTTTCTCGGTCAGTTTCAGTATGATGTCTTAAAGGTATATTTAGAATTGACGACAATAGTAAACAAAATAATTTTATCTTTCCTAGGGATTTTTCAGAAATATTCATGCAGGCACTATACTCGTAAGATAGCAGTACCAAACCCAAATTGACCAAACAATAAGATTAAATATCTAACGAATACAACAATAATAATCTAATGATAATTTATATTTCGTATAAGCCGCAATTTTGCAAGAAATGTGCGCTAATTTTACAGAAACGATCAGATACCTTATAAGTTACAATCGTGAGGTATCATAAATTAATACTTTTTCAAAAGCTTCATTTGTTTGGTTATTGTACAAGAAATCAGAACAGGTTCTCATAAATGTTAAATTGTAAACGCTCCACCAAGTCCACCATCAAAGTTGAGCGACAACCCAAACTGCGTTCCGTTTCCAGCTGATAGCTATGGTCAACCAGTGAATGGCGTATATTTGGGTAACTGCAATGCCTCTACGTGACTGAAAGCTATTTTAGGAAGGGGAGAACGACCTGGTAAACTGCGAAGTGGCGTAAGATACGATCATGGATAAAACATGATTCGGAGTACATTTACAAGATATATACAAGAAGGAGGTGGAGAGTCCTCGGAATTGTAGTATACATCTGCAATTTTTAATGCCAACCATATTGGTCTAAGCATGGAAACTATGGCGTTTTTGTTGATAATATAGCTTTGTTGAGACATTGGTGTTGTTGTATTTTTCATCAAAGCAACCAGAATTAAGAAAGCGACAAATATTAGCGAATCACATGTTTGTCTTTAATAAAGGCCTAGGCAGCAAAGATCAAATAGAGTACAATAGTGCTTAGATAAAAAGACTATTGTTAGGTAGATAAGTGATATTTCAGTGAGAAGCTGCACATTAATGTCGGGTGTGAGAACAAATACTCGCCGAAGACATTGGCTAGTGGTCGCGCTGTGTCGTGAATTGGCAGAAGTTAGAATTCATGGCCCGGACATTGGATCGGGTCCCAGTGGCTTAATGGTCTACGAGCTCGCCTTGTAACCAGAAGGTCCTGGATTCGACCCCCAGTGGTGGGTGCGTACTGCTGAAGAGTCCCAAACTAGGCTGACGAAACAGCTGTCCAGTACTCCCAGTACTGGTTTTCCAATGGTTCTCTAAATAATGTCAGCTCATGATGAAATCCTGTAACCAATCAACTAAATCCCTACAAACCAACACTTGAAAAACTTGTTATGCTGAATTTTCATGACCAATTTTCATATGGCATGCGTTAGACATTGCAAAGTGAAATGAATTGCAAGCGGTGTATATATTATAAGACTCATTAGCGAGTATCCAGATAACAGAGAGGCTCAAGTAGCAGGTTAAAAGTTTGATGTGGCATGATCAAACTCAACAAACGTTGACAAACTCGATTGTTCTTCCACTAATTAAGACGTGGATATTTTTCGTCGGAGTTCTAAAAACTGCATGAGAAATCTTGGAAAAACAGTAGTCATATGAGTTAGCAGCCGGCAGATAAAGGAGAATAAACCTAGAATTTGGATTGCCGCAAATGAAAAACCCAAAAGAAATCCTCTCAGACAAGTCATTGAGGAAATATTCAAATACCAACATTATATTGAAGCACTTAAGTGTTGTTCGAAATGTCATTGCTCAATTGATGGTAACCCTCCACTGCTGTTCAGTAGTAAACAACGTCAGAAATACATGTTAACAATTGCTGTTTGAGAATTTTTCAGTTTTTGAAATTAAGTGATGCTGTATCCACTTGAGCTGATACTCACTCATTTGAGCTTGTAAAGCACAAAATAACACTGCATAAAAAAACTTAAAATAAGAAAATAATCAGTAAATAACCAGGGGGAATTCTAGTCTTTCACTGAGACTGTGAGAATCTCCATGAGAATTGAATATTGAACACTGAAGATCGGATGTGTACTTATAAAACGTCTCGTTGATTGTGTACATCCAACCCCGAATATTTGAAATGACGCAGTCGGTTTGGGATATCGCTGTTCAGCAGAATAAAAGCAAGCCAGGTACGTATCCGAGGATTTCATTTTTTACAACAAAATAGCTCAAGGGAATGTAGAAACTACGATCATTTTCGCTGGAAACAGGCAGTCTGTATGTTGCAAAAGGTCATCCGACTTTTACTTTACAAACAATTTCTAGGGGAAAAGTACAATCATTAACCGATTCCTTGAAAAGGATGAAACACCAAAACCAACTCTAGCACTTGATTATACTTTTGGACGTAAAGGTGCTGGAAACTATATGGTTACTGGTCATTACTTCATTTCTTATTTTTAATATAGACTAGAGCTGTGTCGCACATATGGGAGCTTGGTGGTGGATCGAAACTTTCAGATTTAATTGATGTATTGATCACACCCAACAACATACTGTTAGTTGTAATCACCTCCCTGTTAAACTTATTTTCCTTTACTTAAAGGAATCTTCACCTTATTTTGGTTGTTGATTTATCAAAGCCTACAGAACTTTGGGATACAATGGACAATCTACTGAGATCAGCTTCTTCTCGTGTCGAGAAAATATTTAGTCGACTTCGACAAAAGAACGTGACACATATTCAGAATACTCTGAATGAAAATTTGAGGAAAAGGATTTCATCGACGCACCCAGATGTAGAACTTTTAAATCCTTTTCCCTTACCTCTTACATTCTTAGGGACAAAATATGATATTTTTAGGGTAAGTAAAATTATAAGTGATATGCATTTCTACAGGAATTCAGTAGTGAGCAACAAAATCTAATTAGCAAGACAATACGTTTTCTTAGTCATTACTATGGAGCATCTTTATATGTAGGTGCGTAATATTTTCTCTGTAATTGTCTCAGTTTACATCTATTAGAGAAGACGAATTGCTCAAAAAAACGAGAATTCTGCTCAATCACATCGCTTTTGGTGGTAAAATAACATTCAATGAACAAATGAAAACAGGAAAGCCATTAGCTATTCCTGTTAGCATGGATTCATTCTCAAACATTGGTAATTATTACTGTTTATTTGAGTTACGTATGTTCTCACATGGTTTCTAATTCTTATCCAACCTAAATTGTAAGAAGCCTTCCAAATGCATGACATGCTATTTCGAAAGCACTTTAGATCCAGACTACATGCAATTTGAGAAAAGATGCAATATCTTTCGCTATGTCAACTGAACTCAGTGAAAGCTGTTATTTGATGAATTATAACCCAAGAGTAACTGTGTTTTCCAGAAAGCCCCTGGTTACCTGCGAAATATTTTCTAACATCTCAAGTTTTTGGCTTTTCAAACGATACATTAAAGGCATTACTACAAATCTAATACTATATAATATTACTTTGCAGATTCAGATTTTTGGTTGAGAAGATTATGCTAACCCTCTTTCCAATAATTTTTTGTCTAACACCTTGAAAAACTCGGTTGAAGGAATAAAGATCACTTCCGAAGGTTAGTCTCGTGAGTTAATGACTCAGTTAGAGAACTAGTGTAACAGCAGAATGCAAGACACGGAAGCCAAGGTATATTTTTTGAATTGATTGAACCGCTATTTATATAAACATACAACTATATTCTTTAATCGATCAATGAGCATGTGGTTTTGGTTAACATTAAACGACATAAAATACAATGTTCAAATATATGTATAGTATTCTCTTGCTAGTGCGGTAGTGAGCTGTGGGAATATGTGAGAATAATATTCCATCGGAACATATTGTCTGTATCACACCACCAAACAAATACTCCGGAGCAATAGAATGGCTCCTTCCCTTTTGAAAAATTTTGCCATCTGTTGAAAGATGTTCCGACCTAGTAAGGATGAACATGTTGATCAGATTTCCTCTCTGTCTACGATATGACAAGAAAAGACTTCAAACACTTAAGTTTCTTGTCGTATGATAAATTGGTTGTACCAGGAATCAAATGTGTGGTCCTCCTTTAAACTGTTTCTGGAATATATGACGCCCGTTTAAGGCAAGAGAAACTATTTTTTTATATTTTTGATTACAGCTTGACTCCATACCGTATTTTTGGTACAAGTATGGAATTTTCAGCGTGGATATCGGTAGCCCAAATTTCGCAGGCCGACCATAGATATCAGGTGTGCGTCGGCGTGGGCTCGAACCCCGGACCATGTGCATGGTCGGCGAGAGTCCTAACCACTGTGCCACCGACGCCTTTTTCTAGTTTTTACTTTACCAAGTATTTTTTACAAAGCAGTAAACATTTCACCGGGAATTTCGGTGAACACCCTGCGTACTGACTACAAGAATCGAAAGCTGAGAGTTACCGTTGCATTTTTAGTGTGCCCTGTTTATTTTTAGCCATGATTTACTATGCAATCATTATCCATATCCACCTGAATTGTAGAGGGGAGTGAGGGGAGTATTCTGTCTATATCCTATGCACTGACACTTGCGTGCCCTTATGCACATAGTCACAGATTTCACTATGTTGATGGGAAACAGCTAACTTTCGCAACAATCTGACTGACTATTGAAATCTGTTTACAACATTTGAAAGTTTTAAATGATGAATTATTTTCTTATCTATATTATTTATTCAGTAGTCAAGAAGATTTTAAACATAGTTGATGAAGTAAAAAATGCACACTAACTATCTGACACCCAGGGAGTATAATTGCATCTTACAACTATTGGTATTATTCTCGGTGAACATAGAGTTTTAACAACAAATCCCCATTATATTCTGTTCTGTTTCGTTTTCCTTCGATGGATCCATGACTTCTCACAGACTATCATTTCCTCTCCATTTAAACGATGATCAAAGCAGTTTCCATGAATTAATCTAAGAGCTTATTGAAAGTTGTCGCCTGAATTATCCTCTTTCTTGTTTAATTTCATCATAATTGTACTAATCAATATGACGCTGATTACTTTTAGCAACTAAGGGATCAACTTGTTACCAGGGGACAGTTTTGTTGACTTTGAGTATGTGGATGATGATGATGCCGATGTTGTTGTCCTTCTAGATGACGATACTGACAAAATGTGGAGTCACAGGATTTCGTCATAAGCTGACATCAGTTAGAGAACCATTGGAAAGCCTGGGAGTACTGGACAGCTGTTTCGTCAGCCTAGCTTGGGACTCTTCATCAGTATGCACCCACCGGGGTTCGAACCCAGGACCTTCTGGTTACAAGGCGAGCTCGAGTGTGAGGAAAACTACTTGCCGAAGACATTGGCTAGTGGTCGCGCTGTGTCGTCAATTGGCAGGAGTTGGAATTCATGGGCCATTGGATCGGGTTCCAGTGGCTTAATGGTCTACGAGCTCGCCTTGTAACCAGAAGGTCCTGGATTCGACCCCCAGTGGTGGGTGCGTACTGCTGAAGAGTCCCAAACTAGGCTGACGAAACAGCTGTCCAGTACTCCCAGTACTGGTTTTCCAATGGCTCTCTAAATAATGTCAGCTCATGATGAAATCCTGTAACCAATCAACTAAATCCCTACAAACTAGCACTTGAAAATGTGGAGCCTACTGAACGCCTTCCAGTAGATAGAAATCTTCTAATATCTGGAGTGCGATTCCCCCGTATCAAATATAATATAATGCCCCAGGACTGGTGTACACCGACTGCTACCTTAAAGATAGAAAGTGAAGTGGTCACTTAGCGTGTTGATCACTTCACTTATTTTAAAAGTCGAATCAAAATGAGTAAACTGCCACCCTCCCGCTCTTTTCTATTCTACGGTCAAGGTAGAAATAGCTACTATACCTACTTCTTTTTGTAAACACAAAAATGTTTGGCTTACATTTATGAATAGTCAAGACCTCCATTTTCTTTAACGTTCAAAACGAAGAAAACACGGCAAGTTGCCATGAAGCTGATAGATGATCTTAGAATCATTTTGAGGGTAGGTTGAGTGATGAAGTTGATCAAGTGTTCTAGGATAGAGCTTCTCACATTCTTTTCCTCTTCCCTTGTGAAATCATGTTGGAATGTTTTGACTGGACAGTAGTTAGTGACTAGGGTAATGTCTCTAGTCCTTCGTTTGATGCAGACTGAATTATACCATTTAAGTTTGTAATGTGGCCACCATACCACTAGGTGGCCCCCATTATGGTGCACTGTGAAATGTGGGTATTAGATGGTTGGAGGTAATCGGCAGGAAGCCTTAAAGTCAGGTTTTGTGCTAGTTAGCAATTGACTGGTAGAATTCAGTCTGTACCAAAAAGTCGAGTAGACACACTACACTAGTTACTAACTATTTTCCAATCAAGGTACCCGATACAGTCCTACAGGAAGTCAAACGCTAGTCAACCCGAATAGCTTCTCAGTGGTAACGTCTCTGACTTCAGCACTCAGTGGGTGACAAAGATTCGAATCTCAGAAGAGACATGAGTTCCTTCAAGGTTCCAGATAAAACTTTCTGACTGCTGAGTACAAACTAGCACGAAACCTAGGCCAATCAAGGCTTCCATCTAACATGCTGGAATGGGCTTTCATATCCGTGTGGAAAGTATTCATTGGCTGTAGAATACGATTTCTTAACAATCGCATATTTTAATATAGCGAAAATATTCATTCAGGCATCTATAAAAAGCGAAACAATTAAGCTAGTAATATCAATTTCGATAATTTCCTCTCCTTCTGGCTCTACAATCACATATATATGTTTATGTGCATAGAATATTCTAGATTAGTAGTCAATATTATTAGTGTTTTATTGAATAATATCGACTTGTTAAGTAAGATCACAATGGAATTACAGTTCATTAAAGATGCATAAATTATAATAATAAAAATATAATAGCACATAGAATATCAACTAAAATTAAGGAAATTTCTACAAAAAATTGAGGATCATTCAAACCTAGATGGCCAAGCGGTAAGGACAATGTCTGAACCAACTAGCTTCTTCTTTTGAACACATATATTAGACTTCTTAATGTGGATCCCAACAGTCAGCCTCAGCAATATTTAGTAATCGAGCTCTTAAGGCAGAGTCAAGTTTTGTTGGTTTGGCGTAAATGACTTTGAAAGCTGCCGGTTTACCATCAGTTTTGTGTTCTGTATCCACAAGATGAGATAGAATAACGCTGTGAATAGATTTTGTTTGTCCCTTACTTAACCGCTATGCAGGATGATGTTCTCGGAAATCTGACGAGAAACACTCCTAATCATATATTTATACGATTGATAACGAATTCATTGAAAATAATCTTTTCACTAAAAATATATATTGTCTTATAAAATTATTCAAATCGAATGTGTATTCTAGTATGTGTCGAGATGTGTTCCTTTTTCTTTTCATGAATTACAGGGGTACCACCAAGTTCTGATATGGAAATAAAATGTTTGACAGTGAAATCACCACTAGAGATGTGGAAAACTGTTTTCTGCAATAAATTCCCTCAAGTAATTGCTTATTTATTTATTTATTTTATTGATATTTTTCACATTTTATAGCCTCTAAGCTTTCATTTCTAAGTGCACCTAATTTTCACCCCCGCTTCTCCTCACCGCTGACAACTTAACTGTTCTGTTTCACCTGAAATCAACTTGAAGCTTCGAAGTCTGTTTTTCATAGTCGTCGATAGATGGATGTATTATTGTGTTGGTTGGTTCATCTAGGAGCCGGGGTGGGAGGAGAACACCCTCCTGTTTTTGATGTGGTTTTGTTCTCTGAGCTGGATGGTTAGTTTGCGAAGCTTTCATCACCTTACTGGGTGACATCTTCAGCGCATACTTCAATTTGAAGTGAGTTTTTAGATTTCTCCACGAGTTTATTAATCATCTCTTCTGGTGGTCACCAGGAGAGATGATGATGTCACCCAGTAAGGTGATGAAAGCTTCGCAAACTAACCATCCAGCTCAGAGAACAAAACCACATCAAAATCATCCACCTGAGCTACAAATCTTCTCTATAATATCTACACCCTCCTGTGTTTGCACCACAGAATGAGGTTGTATATAGTACAGGTCTTGCAGAAGTCTAGGATGAGTGTTAGTTTGTTCATTAGATATATATCACACAGTGAAACAGTATGATTTACTGGATGACAATGTTTTGAACACAATTCATTGTTGTTCACAATCATATCATCAATTATAATCACATGACTTTGAAACTTGAGTTTTATAGTTTTCTTTGTCTTCTCCTATTTGTCGTCGTTGGGGTAGTAGAATTTTCCGGATATCCGACTGAACATGTGTTGAATCATTCCTGTTACACGTATTTGCAGTTGATTCGATAAACAAAGCTTCTGTTATCAATCTCTCCCTCCCTCCACTCTGTTACATTAGATTTTAAAACTGTCATCTTATCCCATCCTATTGTATGGTTGTGTGTAATTACATGTGGTGAGTGCTGTAGCTATCCTATTCTATAGATTTCTTATCTTATTTGGGTCAACCAATCTAGATTTTGCTAGGTTTTTGTGCTCTGCTAGTCTGACTGTCCCTGTTCTACTACTTTGACCTATATATTTAACCTGACAATAATTCCAACAGGGTATTAGGTGAATTAAATTGTCTTGGCTCCATAGAATCCTTCAACCGACAAAGATTGTTTCTAATTGACTTTGTGGTTGGTTTGAATACCAGCTACTTTTATTCCTGCTTTGTTAAGAATTCTGCATAAGGTGATTTCTGAGATTCCTTCTTTGTGGAGAAGTACCACTAATGATTTAGATTCCTTATTGTTGATGTTGTCTTGTGCATGTTTGACATGCACGTCGTCATTAATATTATTATCACTATCACTATTATTATTATTTATTTTATTTTTGCATTTCCGTACATATTTCCTGACCATGGTAATTATCAAGTTTCAAAGCTTCTCCTCTTATATGCCTCACTTCTTGTCTTACATTTTCCTTAGTACTTCTTAGTTTTTGTGCTCTATCACTTAAACATTTCACCAATCCTATTTTCACTGACATAGGACAGGTCGTATGGTTATAATTGATGGGATGATTATGAACAATAATAAATTGTGTTCGAAACTGTGTGATCCAGTAAATGTGATACTGTTTCACTCATTTTGTGATACATCTGATAAACAAACTAATATAGAATTACTTACTGCCACAGTGCCCAAATTTTTCACATATATTACTAGGATGAGTGTGTTCAGTCTTGCTGAAAAGCATTTTATAGTAACACCTAGCCAATAGGTATGTCATTATATAAAAACTGACAAGTATTTTCAAACACTTGGAACGACGTGTGTACTGCACAATAGTTCGTTCTATCCTCCTTGATGATGACTATGAGATATGGTCACTGAAAGAGAGAAATTGACGTTGATAATAGACATTTACGAGTTTGACCACGGATAAATATCAGTTAGAGAACCATTGAAAGCCAGAACTGGAGTACTGGACAGCTGTTTCGTCAGCCTAGTTTGGGAATCATCGGCAGTCTGTATGTCTGGATTCAACATAGAACTTGGCGCCGAAGTGCGGCGGTTTGACTTGCCACGTTCCAAATAGCACACAAAGGTAGACAAGAAGATGAGTGAAGAGAATCAATAGGGTTTGACAAGTATAAGAGTGAAACAGAATGGGTAATGGTAGGAAGGAATATGAAAGATTACAGAGACTGAATACACCTGCGCCATTGACAAATATTCTGAGCCATGTCACCTATTGTCTCCAGCCATTGATTCCCAGAGTCAGTTCAGGGGGCCCCAACCCGGGAGTCTGCATCTCCCTACCTGACCGACTCAGTTTAACTGTCAAGGATTTCATGGATTGATGAGGCCATGTTTTTGTTTGGCCACCACTTACTCTTTTCCAACCTGAACCTATATCAGCTAGTAATGTCCATCGGGGGAGGCGATGGTTAGGCATGCGCAGCACGTGACCTAGCCATCTCAATCTATGTAACTTTATAGCCTCGTCGATTGATTTTCCCTCTTTGTCCAACACTCTACGCCTAACGTCAACATTACTTATCTTGTGAAACCACCTAACGTGAGAAAGAGAACGTAGACATCTATGATCAAAAACAGTCAACCTTTTCATGTCTTCAACTCATATTGGCCATGTTTCAGAACCATAGACAAGAACGAAACAAACTGCTGAGCACTAACCACCCACTGGTGTTCAAACCCAGGACCTTCCGGTTACAAGGCAAGCTTATAAATCACTCAGCCACTGGAACCTGACCCGATTTAATGGCATGAATTTTAACTTCTACCAATTCGTGATGCATTTAGCGCAACTGTCACCAACCAATATCATCGGTGGGAAATCCATCCTCACACTTGACTGACTGGTTGGTGGACCTCACTGGTTGAACTTGTAAAAACAAATTTAATCCTTACAGACCAACTCTTGAAAATAGATATTAACGTTCTGCCTTTGATGTTAAATGGTAAAATATGGTAAGTAATGTTAAGATTATATATGTAAACTGTTAGTAGGTAAGGAGGGAAAATCAATCGATAAGGTTTTGAAATTATATCGATCAAGATGGCTAGGTTACGAGCTACACTCATGCCAAGTTATCAGCTACCTTGACGAGTAATATTGGCTGATATCAAATTAGATTGAAAAGAGTTAGAGAGAATGATCAAATCCATACCTGGTGTCTATCAGCAAAGTTTTTGACTGGTGGTTTGAACAACTTATGGAGGTGTGAGGAGTGACTTGGCTTTCATCGTGGAAATGCTAAAAACCAATGACTGAAGATTGTTGATGATATGTGTTATGTACTGGTCGAGAATTTAATAGTCCTGACGCAAGAAAGACGGAAATCAGAAGACCACTAGGTTTGCGATGATACTTCTCTATTCCAAACACAAGGAGAATCAATGACACAAGTGTGTGAGAGCAAAAATATATGAATGTCCGGACAAGTGTGTGAGCGAATATTCAAATGAACAAATCAATAGACAGTCTTAACATGATTGGCTAATTGTAATGGAATATCGATCCATATATACATAGCAAGATATATCAGACTGTCAAACAAAACACACATATTATATGGATACATATCACCTCCCCTTTTGAGAAAATTGATGATTAGTAGGGTGGCTAAAGGTTACTGTCAGTAGTGGAGCAGAAGCATCCACTCTTCGTGTGATCTCCAAGATCCACTTCTTCTTATTATTATTATTCCTTTGGGTTCCAAGTGGAACATAGGGCTGGCTTCAACAGCACATCTACACTTTGTTTTGTTTTCTGTCGTCCTCTTAAGCTGGCTAGCCCCACGACTGACTATAATCTCTCACCTCCCTCTCCTTCAATTCGCATGACTTCCTCCATGTCACCCTCACACCGACGATCCACTCCAAGCTTTCCATTCGAGGGATGACCTGCATCGAGCGCCATGTCATTCGATTGCCTTCTCAACGTATGCACAATCAACCCATCTCGATTTTCTCCTACATATTTATTGTGCAATAGACTATTGACTAGTTTGTTGTCAGGGTTTGTTGTTGCCAATTCTTTCTGGCTAGCCGGTTGGCTGACCATCTGATCTTCAGTATATGGAACCAGCCAGCAAATTAGGCAGCTGTTAATAAAAGTACATACAAAATAACACATATATATATATATATTTTCAAGTATTGGTTTTTGTAGGGATTTTGTTTGATTGCATGGAGGATTTAATCATGAGCTGACATCAGTTAGAGAACCACTGGAAAACCTGGGAGTACTGGACAGCTGTTTCGTCCTAGTTTGGGACTCTTCATCAGTACGCACCCACCGGGATTCGAACCCAGGACCTTCTGGTTACAAGGCTAGCGAGCTCGTAGACCATTGAGCCACTGGGACCCGATCCAATGTCCGGGCCATGAATTCTAACTTCTGCCAATTCACGACATAGCGCGACCACTTCGCAATGTCTTCTTCGATGAGTTACTGCCTCATCTTCAACCTCCTATATATATATATATATATATATATATATATATATATATATATATATTTGCGATTGTACAGCTAAGATAGAAAATGAATTCGCCACCGAAAAGACAGACTCTTCACTGAACTACATGTTTTGTTTTCATTAATACCCTGGATGGGGATTATCCATGAATTTTCAAATTCTCATTTATGCATTCATAAAAAAATTTTTTGCTATTCTTTTTTGTTATCGCTCACAAATTATCCAGAAACTTGAGACAACATCATTACGTCATACGAAACAAGAGACAACTGGTGTCTTCAATCCAAGTAAAGATCCTCAATATGCTGAATCACTCATCGACACAGCTCGAAAGGCAAAAGACAATGAACTGGAAGAGAAAAGACGTCAAGCTGAAAGAAAAATGTATAATTTACTACAACAAGTCACCTCAGAAGGATTACTTATTGCTTAGATTATATATATATTATTGGTTGGGTTACTTGCCCTCCTTCAATGAGTTGTTGTCATTTTTCCCTGTATACTCTTTTTATTGTATTATATACACTGAATTCTTTAAATAGGTTGATTTACTGTACAGTATGTTCTTGAAATGCGTATTGTTTTTTGCTCTTTCTTGGGAAGATTGTTATTCTGATAAAACTGTTATAACAGACTGTTGGTCATTTCAGGTGTTAAATATAGAAAAAATCCCCATTTGCACGTTTAGAAAACAGAAAGATTGAGCGAGCGAAGAAATATTTACTTTTTTTCAATTAGATCCTCATCTCACTCTGGCTCTACTCTAATATACACGTTGCAGCATTTTTATTACAATACACAACAGTTTACCAATCAAGTAAGTGGCACTGATATGTTTGTTAACAATAATTAGTCAGTCAGTGTCAACATGTCAGGCAGTGGGGTGATAATTAACGAATAAAATTAATACACTCAATTAAAAAGGTAGAAATGGTTAGAATAAATTAATTTTACACAGGATAACACGTAAATTAAAGATGAAGTGGTCAAAATAAATAAAACTGAAATAATTTGGACAATTATAATATTTGAATTGAATTTTTGATTTTCCCGTCGATTGATTGGACCGAAGTGCTCGGTCTCAGGTTGACATGTCGGCTTCTTGTGCAGATGCTTCGACGATGTCTGGGCATTTAGTTAGTATACAATTGGTGGATGGTGGCTAGCAGTGGAATCCAGGATGCGCATTTCGTCCAATTTGGGACTCGTCAGCTGGATGTACCTGCATTTCTCGGTGAGTGATGATGTTCCCACTGAGGCTCGAACCCAGTACCCATAGTTTCAAACTCCAAAGCGTTATCCACGGGAAAATCAAAAATTCAATTCAATAATTAATATGACCCGTTGCACAAGAGGTGGCCCAAGTGGTCTAGTGGATAACGCTTTGGCGTTTGAAACTATGGGTACTGGGTTCGAGCCTCAGTGGGAACATCATCACTCACTGAGAAATGCAGGTACATCCAGCTGACGAGTCCCAAATAGGACGAAATGCGCGGTGTCCTGGATTCCACTGCTAGCCACCACCCACCAATTGTATACTAATTATAATATTTTATAACTTTAAACGTTTAGGGGGAGGGAGACGAAGTAGTCTGGCTTATACATTCATGTAACGATGGCCAAGGTAAGGAAATTTCTTCTGAACACACAGGTTTGTCTTTTTCAGGTGGATTCCTATTGCTTCAGCTGTCGTATGTAGAAGACGATCTCGTAGAGAAAAATTAAGATTAGTGGGGATGCAATAGATAATTTTAAATGCAGTATTAACATCAACCTTATGCTTACTATCTACAAGGTGTGCTAAAATAGAGCTATGAATAGATCTTGTTTGTCCTTTGCTTAACCATGTTGGATGATGTTCGGAAATACGATGATGAACCTTCGTAATTGTACTCCCGATGTAGTTGGTTCCACAGCTGCAGTCAAACTGGTAGGTGTTGGTTGGCAGGAATTTGATTTGTTTTGTTACAGGATATCATTATCAGCTGATTTCAGCTAGAGAACTAAGGAGCACTGGACAAATGTTTCGACCCGATTTTCGATTCTTCATCAGTACACACCCACCCCACACCAGGGTTCGAACCTAGGACCCTGCGGTTACCTAGGTTCTAGTGAGAAGTTATGACCGACAGTGAGGTACACAGCAGGTCGGTTATGAGGAGGACAAACACTCGCCACCGATGACATTCATTGGCTAGTGCCAGTCGCGCTATATCTTGAATTGTTTGGCAGAAGTTAGAATTTGTGGGTCGGCCATTAGATCGGGTCTCACTGTCTGCTGAATAGTCTACGAACTCGCTAGCCTTGTAACCAGAAGGTCCTGGATTCGAACCGTGGTGACGGGTGCTTACTGATGAGGACTACCAAAGAAATATGACGAAACAGCTGTTAGTGGTTTTGTTGGTTGGTGTTGTTGTTTATGCTGACTAGAATGAACCTCCAGTCACAATACTGCAGTCAATTGATCACTTAGAACTATTCCCCTACACTCAGAGAGACACACAGGAGTTAGATCTAACTGAGACAACCGCAACAACAGCAAAAAATTTATTACTCCCTTGATCCCGACCTAAAAAGAGTAAAAAAAAGCTTTATTATGTAAAATAAGTTTATTAGGAAGAAGAGAACACGAAGTTCAGCAAAGATGACGGACGATCTTTTCGGCGATTTCATTTTCAAAAGTAGCTGTACAATCGCATTTAAATACATAGATACATAATACATGGATACATAATTACAACGGCGAATAAAAGGTGATAATTATTTTCAACTAGATCTGGTTTATGAGGAAAGGCTTAGATACAAAATTACACGGGATTAGAATGGATAAGAAGTGTGTAAAAAATGAGTATGGAAACAAAAATTGAAATAATAATTTTCAACTTGAGATGGGAGTTAGGAGATGCGAATGTAGAGCCTTAGAAACACAAAAATTGCACAGGATTAAGATATAATTGTAAAATATAGCAAAAATATTCATTCAGACATCTATAAAACACAAAATAATCGAGCAAAGAATATTCTTTTCGACAAATTCCTCTTCTGGCTCTACAACTACATATATATATGTTTATATACACAGAATATTCTAGGTTAGTAGTCAATAACAATATTAGTGCCTCTTCAAATAATATCGATTTGTAAAGTATGATCAATGCAGTTACAGTTCAGTAAAAATACTTAAATTATAATAGTAATAAAGATATAATAGCGAGTAGAATATCAACTAAAATTAGGAAATTTCCACAAAAAATTGAGAATCATTCAAACCTAGATGGCCAAGGTAAGGACAGCGTCTGAATTAACTTCTTTCGCATGCACAAATTAGGCTTGTTAATATGGATCCCAACAGCCAGCCTCAGCAATATTTAGTAGTCGAACTCTTAAGGCGAAATTGAGATTCGTAGGTATGCGGTAAATGACTCTAAAAGCCTGGTTAACATCAATCTTATGTTCTGTATCCACAAGATGAGCCAGAATAGCGCTACGAATAGATTTTGTTTGACCTTTGCTTAACCACCGGTGCAGGGTGATGTTCGGAAATTCGACGAAAAACACGCCTAATTGTGCAGTCTATGTAACCGACTGGTTCCACAGGAGCAGTTAAATTGGTAGATACACATGGATGAGGCGAAATTAGGCAGTTTATCTTTTACTCTCTAACGCAGAAGAGGAGTGGTTTTAAAGGTACAGGGAATGCTCGTTTTACTGCATTTCTAATGCGCTGTGTTAATATCTCTCTAGTGTTGTCCCCAAGGAACTGCATCTGAAAGAATAAGGCCTTTTTTGGAACTGTTGGTAACTTCGGCTGCTTAGGTTTCAAATTCATATTCTTATCAATAAACTTTTCAGAATAACCATTCTCACTTAGCAACCGTGTAATATAATTCAGTTCTTAATCAAGACATTCGTCCGAGTAAATCGCTCTTGAACTGTGGTAATTCTATTGTGATCATACTTTACAAATCGATATTATTTTAAAAAAAGCACCACTATTGTTATTAACTACCAATGTTGAATATTTTGTGTATATAAACATGTATATAACTATAGAGCCAGAAGAGGAATTTATCGAAAAGAATATTCTTTGTTCGATTATTTTGTGTTTTATAATTGTAAAATAGTTAATTTTTAAACGAATTATAAATGTGAACAGGAAGAGCTCGGAAACAAACTTAAAATAACTGTTCTTATACCTGAAAACAGAAATGGGGTGAAGCGAATGAAGACAGGGGGAGTAAGAATCACACACACACACAGAGAGAGAGAACGAAAAAAGATCCAGGAAAAATTGGAAGCTAAGGGAACACATCGAACTAGGTCTATGGTAGTTGTAGAGGTTGGACTAATTTCTTTTGAACACAAAGCTCCGGCTTCTCGATGTATATGGCGAGGGCTTCTGCAGTACAGAGACGTACAGGGAATCTATATTCACACCTCCTAACTCCCATTTCAAGTTGAAAATTATTATTTCAATTTTTGTTTCCATACTCATCTTTTACACACTTCTTATCTGTTCTAATCTCGTGTAATTTTGTATCTAAGCCTTTCCTCATAAACCAGATCTAGTTGAAAATAATTATCAACTTTTATTCGCCGTCGTAATTATGTATCCATGTATTATGTATCTATGTATTTAAATGCGATTGTACAGCTACTTTTGAAAATGAAATCGCCGAAAAGATCGTCCGTCATCTTTGCTGAACTTCATGTTATCTTCTTTTTAATGTCCTTATGGGTATTTTCCACGAACTGAAAAATAAGTTTACACAGTGTGCACAATTTTCAGCGTACTTTATTGCAGAATGTTTTCTCTTCCCCCAGGAGTTTCAAGTAAAACAGCCATCTGCAGTACATCAGTTGACTTACTGAATGTTAGACCTGAAAAATGAAATAATCCACTGCGGTATGTTTTTCCTTTGATCTCACAGAAATGCTCAACGATAGACCGCTAACCAATTAAAAATATACCCGAGTACAACATTTGGAGACTCATTCGGAGTACAATTACCAGACATATTGTTGATACAGTACATCTCGTAGAGATTTCTAAGTTCTGCAAATTATTAAATAGACAAAGGACAACAAATTTACTACGATTTGCTGAAACGATCGCAATCAGACGATTTAAATCAACCAGACTTATATATACAGAAAAAGAGTGTGTGTGTGGCTAACGTCTCACTCCCTTGGTAACTGAATTTTGATTTTGATTACATTAATTAATTAGTCATCTAATCCAGTGATCTCAACTCATCACTGAACAAATCTTGATCTCATAAACTGTAACCGCTTTTGGTTTTTTCTTTTTTGAGTTGCTATGTGAACAAGCTACAAGCTAACACTGTTCTGTTGATTATTTTTTTCCAGTTTCTGTCTTACCCCTCCCCTCTCTTTTCAACTTTAAAAGCGTATAAATTGATGATGACAACTTAAACTAAAAATTGTGATGCTTACATTTTGGATGCTTTAATTTTATGGTTTGATTTTTTTTTATTTTTGATTTACAGCTTGATTCCACACCGTATTTTCGGTACAAGTATGGAATTTTCAGCATATGATATCGGTAGCCCAAATTTTGCAGGCCGATCATAGATATCAGGTGTGCATCGGTGCGGGCTCGAACCCCGGACCATGTGCATGGTCGGCAAGACTCCTAACCACTGTGCCACCGACGCACAGTATCTCTTCTCTGCTACCACTCAAACATTAAAGTAGTCCGCAGCTGATGAGGACCTGTGAAATAGAACGATGACATCATTTTATACTGCAAATTTAGTCTTCCATCCTTTATCGAAACTCACAGATATGACAGAATGATGATTATAACAGCGAGAACTAAAGAAAAGTGGTGAGATGCAATATCTCGGATGAAAATCCAGTCTGCCCAGTGAATGATTAAAGAAGGCCACCATGTGGATCAATAATCATTTCGACAAAATTCTTCAATGCCCGGTATTCCCAACCGGTTACCCACGCAAGTACTAACCGGGCTCAACGTTTCTTAACTTCGGTGATCGGAGGAGAATCGGTGTTTTCAACGTGCTACAGCTGAATGCACAACTGCTTAACCTAAAGGTCTTAATTTCTGTCCATAGCAGGTTTGTGGATATTCACTTCTATAAGTTACAAACTATTAGAGTGAATCAGCTGTTCAGTACTCCATAATTTCCAATGGTTCCTTAACTAATGCATAAAAATATTATATACTACTGATTGGTTGATATGGGTAGTTAAATTGTAACAACAGAAGATAAGGGCCAGGAAACAGATCGTTTATTTACGAAATCAACAATGTACATTATTATAGATTATTGTAAGCAAACAAACACAATCTTCTTATTGGTTGTTTCTCACTAAAAGTTAATCTTTCATCTCTTTGTGGTTGTTTCTTGAAGGTCAGTTCATCTATCTGCTAATTGTATCCGCCTACGTAAACAAAGTCTGCTGTGATTGATTGTTGAGTCAGTCCCTGTTTTTGTTCTTTTCTCATGACCAATATTGGGGACGTAAACATTGACGTAAATTACTGTCTACCAATTTTGATTAGCAGCCAGCTCTCACCACAAAATGACATTCATATCAACTAGTAAATGGCTGTCAACGACGCATGTTCCCTAGGATTCGACAGGCCCCGCCAACAGACCTCTAATCTTCACTTAGCCGGTAGAAAGACCATTAAAGACATAAAAGTGGGCATGGGGCTAAGAATATCATCCCCGAAAAAATAAATACCACTGCTAGTGAAAAAGCCCAAGCTTGAACCCATAATGTTCCACTCAGAACGGAAAGAGTAATGGTAACGGTAGATGTCCAGAAACTTGGTAAAGGAATATTTTTATTTGGAATTCGGTATCTCTGTATAGAGCGAAATTATCATTATTCCCTTGAGTTTCGAGTGGAACATACGGCTGGGACTTCAACAACACATGTCAGTCACGATACTGTAGCCAACTAATTGCTTGGAAATATCCTCCTACACTGAGGTCGACACACAGAAGTCAGATTTAATTCCGACAACCACAGCAGTAACAACCTTTATTCTTCAAAATCCACAGTACATATATCGATACTTGCCTGATATAATTTAGGTTCTGTAACTTTTTGTTATATCCATTGCCTTGGATCCCGAATGGAACATGAGGCTTCAGTAGAACGTATCCATTTTTTTTATTTTCATAAGCTATGCAATTGTAATTATATTTGCTGGAGGAGGATCCCATCATGAGCCGACATAAGTTAGAGAACCATTGGAAAACCAGCACTGGGAGTACTGGACAGATGTTTCGTCGGCCTAGTGTGGGACTCTGCAGCAGTACGCACTCACCTGGGTTGTTCACTAGTGACTGGCCCTATTCACGTAGGTAGTAGTTACCTAAGGTTCTAGTGGGAAGCCATGACCAGTAGGATGCAGCAGGTTGAAGATGACGCAGTAACTCTTCGAAGAAGACATTGCGAAATGGTCACGCTGGGTCATGAATTGTCTGGCAGAAGTTAGAATTCATGGGCTAGCCATTGAATCAGATCTCAGGGGCTTAATGGTCAACGAGATGGCTCGCTTTGTAATCAGAGGGCCATGGGTTCGGACCTCTGTGGCGGCGGGTGGGTGCGTACTGACGAGGAGTCCCACGCTGGTCTGACGAAACAGCTGTCTAGCCGTACTCCCTAGCTGGTTTTCCGATGGTTCTCTGACTGATGTCAGCTCATGATGAAATCCTTCAAATAATTAACGGGAATTTTCAGTACTTCTCACGGCAACAACAAAAACAGTTCACAAAGATGTGTGTCGTTAAAATTGTAAGTTTTAGATAACAATTACGTCATGCGAAAAGTATCAGTCAGATTGCAACTAGAATAAAATTGACTAAGTAAATTGAAAAAATTAAAATTGAAAATTACAAGCGAAAACCGACAACCTGATCGAAGAAGCAGTCGGCGAAGACAGGACTCCAGGTGAACATAGACAAGACGGAGGTTATGAAAATAACCAACCGACCAACAACAACAACATCCAACGTCAATCACCATCAACGGCAGGGATTTGAAAGAAGTCACTTCATACATTCACTTATCTAGGGAGCATTGTCTCAACTACAGGATGTCGGAACGGACGAGGGTGTCAAATCGAGTGAGAATCGGGAAGGCGAGAAACACACACATCCATCAACCCTGAAACCGATCTAGAAATCTTCGTCACTCAGCCAGCCAGAATCAACAACAAAATTCCGTCAGTCCGATTTTCAATACAAACAACGTCAAGTCAGTCAGTTCTTCTATACAGATCGGATCAAAAACTTGGCGGGCGGGTCACAAAGAATATTTCCAACAGCCTGTTGCAGACCTAACCTATATCTACCAACAACTGTCTTCTCTGGATCTATACTGAAGATCAGATGGTCGGGTCGGGCCGAGCCGGGCCGGAAAGAATCACCAACTATGGGAAGCTATGGGAACAAACAAACGAAACAAGAACCAAACAACAAATATGCAGGAGAAAGTGGAGATGGATTAGACACTCGCTCACTGAGGAGACCGCTGAGTGACATCGCGCGCGTCAGGCCATTGCTCGAGTGGAACCAGGCCGAAAGGGAAGCACGCGGCGAGTGGGACGTCGGTGGAAGGGTGACATGGAGGTGATCGTGTGAAGAGGAGGAGGAGGAGTTGAAAGAGTATGGACTAACATGGATGGATGCGGGTGAAAAGTACAGCAGAAGGAAGACAGAATTGGCAAGTGGAGACGTGCAGTTGAAGCCCGCCCTATGTTCCACTAGGAACCCAAGGGAACAATAATAATATAATAATAAATTGAATGACGTAACATAATTAATTGACAATAGTGAGTGAGACTCAACTAAAACTGAAAGAAGATCAAGTTGAGATCAGTGTCATAAAGAGTAGAAATGTAGTAGTCGGAAAGGGGAAAAATAATTTAAAAAATGTTTTTAAATAGCATGAACAAAAATCATGTATCAAATGTTTTACGACAAATTGGGCCCTTTGTAGGTTCACAGACGTAATATGCATTTTCTGTGTTCATAGGTTTCAGGATTTAACATATCGATTGCCATAGCTTCAGTGACTGGATAAAATTTGATTGGCAGACATGGATTCTTTCTCTAGGTGTGATGCCGTTACATGCGGTCTGATTATAATATAACGCCGACTATATATTATCACTACTATTGAGATGAAGATCAAGCTATTGAATGACAGCCGGGAAGGTAGCAGAGCCACATGGAATCCCCCTGATGCATTGAAAACGAACCCAAAGACTATGGTGGGTGTTCTGACGGCATTATTGCCAAAGTTTTGGAAGTAAGGAAAGGTGCCTACCAATTAGAAGAAAGGGTGGCTACCTTGTCAAGCTACCAATGAAAGGCGACTTTGAGAGAACTGACTGACGGTAAATAATGCTCCTGTCTACACCAAGTAAAATACTTTGTCGCATCATCCCGGAGGGGATAAAAGATGCACTGGATACAGAACTCCGACCGACCGACCGACCAACCAGAACAAGCTGCATTCAGGAAAAGCAAATCAAGCGAAGATCAAATTGCAACTCTACGCATTGTCATCACAGAACAAAGCATAGAACGGCAGTCAAATCTCTGCCTCAAATCCATCGACTTCGAAAAGACCTTCAACAGACAGTTTTGTCCGAGACGTAATTTGGAAACTACTTCAACACTATGGCGTACAGTGCCATGGCAATCATGATAATGAACTCGACTGGTACCCTAATATTGCCTACTTATCCGCTGCACCTTCCGATTCACTGAACCACGCAAATATCAAAAGACAAAAGCACGTCTGTGACTTTAAGATACTGTACTGTACTATATATTTATTAGGCGAAGGATAAATGATATGTATACATGTTTACAACAAAAAGGTCGGCTCACAATATGAGAAATGATTGGTCACACAATAATTCTAATGTGTGTGTGTGTGAGAAGTGCAGAGAATTACGCTGATCTGGGAGAAGGTTATTCACTCACTGTTAATAAGACGCTTGGTTACTTTTCACTCATGAAACATGTCTCACAATTCACTGATTCCTGGTCTGTATCAGTGTTCGACTATGCCAGAAAGGCAGTTGGTCATCATACCAGACCAATCTATTTTACGTATAACCCTTGAAGTTGATACTGAAAACACTCCGCACAACTGTCTGCAATCCGATAGCTACGTCTTGTCACCTGGACATGGTGCAATTGTCACTTGTGAATATAGCGCTTTTGGAAAGGTTTGCCTTTGAAATTGACCAGCAGACTGTAGTACACTTTCAACAAATCAAGTGGAAAGCGAAGAATTGTCCTTACGCGGGTAATTGGCTCACAAATGAAGAACTATCAGGCTCACATTGAAACAAGGACAATGTACTGCATCGAAATCTCTGACAGCCTGAAAGCAGTGCATGAACTTGGCGACAAGGGAGATGGCGTGCTAACTGCATCATGCCAGCTTCAATAAGACGAAACTTCTGTTCATGAGATGATATTTGGAATTCAGTACCTGCA